CCCCCTCAAAAAAAAAACAAATGATTGGATGGGTTAAAACTGTACCAATTTCATGTGCACATTTTTTCAGTTTGTGGATTGATACTTCACCAATACCCGTGCTTATCTTGTTCATCATGGTCAGTCGGTAGCCGGTCGGTTCGACATGGGTGCTTTGTTCACTCATTCGAATTGACTGCCGTGTTGGTCGGTGGTTCAAGTTCTAGTGTGAACAATCGATCTTCACTTGCTATCGTCCAACACGTGTTAGGAATCACACGTTATAAGGTAAGATCTCGTTAATCCTTAGCTCGTACAAGTTTCTATTTCTGAGGGTCGTCGTTCGTAGGGGCGCGACAACTGGTTACCAAAAAAACAGATTTTTTTAAACAGAACAGATTTATTATTGAGAGCATATACATTCGGTTATGGGGTTAAAGAAAAAGGTGGAACTGTTGAAGTCTCTTGCTTTTTCAAATCCACTTATCTTACTTAAATTTTTCTGTATTGTCAAGAGTACATGGGCCGTATCTGCGAAGTTTTCGTTGGACCGATTCACAACCTCATACAGATTATCAGGTTCAAACTGACCATTTTGAGGTCAACCCATCATTTCTTTGATAACCTGCCACATTGCTTTGGATTCATTGTTTGACTAATATAAGTTATTTTGTTCGTATGGTTATTTTTTCTGAAAGGTTATTGTAATTCTTCCTTTGCTCGTTGTATACTGCCTCATAGTTTGCAATGTATTGAGGAGATTGAAGAAATATCTATGGCCTGACATTTTTGTATTGAATGTTTGGAATAGGTAAAGTCGTACTTTATTTGTTTTCGAATGTACTTGTATTTTTTCTGTGAATTATCGTGAGCAATAACGAATTCTTCTAATTTCCACAGAACAATTTCCATGAAAATGTTCCCATTTTTGCTCTGATAATTAACGAAAACAAAATAAATCCTAGAAAGCAAACTTATCTAATTGACCCTAATGATACCAATTTCGAATCGGAAGAGAAGAAAAAATATACGACCGTTAAACATAAAAACACATAAAGCTGGTTTATACAGCCATTAAAGGCTCAGATAAACCGCCAAAGNTGATATTTCTAGTCCTAGTTTCATATTTGTGAGGGATGTAATTTATAATAAACAAAGATTTATTTTTAAAAAAGAACATTAAACATTCATAAATATAAATTGCATAAATGGTCAATATATTGTTTGATCGGAAAATACTTCTGCATGATTCCCTATATGGCATATTTAAGATTATTCTTAACGTTCTCTTCTGGATGATAAACACTTTTTCCGTATCAGAGCTGCTTCCCCAAAACATGATGCCATATTTAGCAGCTGCTTCAAAGTTTGCATGACACATAATTTTCATTGAACTGAAATTTAGAAATCTATTGGGAGTTTCCATGGCAAACACGACTGAATTTAGTTTCATGCATAATTTTGTTATTTGCTCAGACCAGCCCAAATATTCATTAATGTAAACACCTAAGTACAAGGAGCTATCTCTCTCTTTCTATTTTTCATATTTGAGGGGTTCAGAGGTAAAGGTGACTAAGCCACAATACCGCAGTTTTTTGTTAGGTTGGGGTAAAGTTGAAACCAAATTATAAAATGCACCTTTTGATGAAAGGTCAAGAGAATTGTTTCACGATTTCATAGAGAAAATTCTAAATCACATTATGCTATGAAAAAAAATATATCCTATGTTTTGATATTAGTATTATGTGCTTTAGAATAATAGGCACCTTTGCTGTTACAAACAGAACGAAACATAATGACTAATAATACTCTAACATTTCATATTTATTCCTGTTCAGCAGCTTCTTCAGCCAAATCATTGTCAACTGTCTCAGAACTATCCCTTAGCCCTTCATAAAAATCATGGAACTCTGGTGGAATAAACTTTAGCAAATCTAGCAAGTCTTTCTTCTTCTCCTTAGTTATTGCTCTACCAGTTGGATAAAGAAGGTCCAGGTCATTGACTGTGTTCTTTGATGGTCGCCCTTTAGATTTTTTTGCTTAGGTCAACCTCATAAAAAAAACCTTCCTCCTGAGTGGAATATTCTACATAAATCTTTCCAGGTCCATTTTTTATGTACTTCATTTGCTGTATTTTTAGCCATTTTATTTTTTCGCCAGTTGTATATATTTTCCGGTTTGTTATTTTTTGTGTAAGAGATTTACTACTAAAAAAGTCGTTGCACCTCATTGTTGTCACCTCGAATTTTGGATTTCTTTTCTTTGCAGATTTAATGATGGATATCCAATCTTCAGGACTGAAAATTCGGTCATGGTATCTTTTTTACTTTTCAATAATACCGAAATCCTGATCACAAGAACTAAGACTGTGACCGGGCACAAAAAATCTTTGTTCAATACTTTTTAGTGATGTAGTACTTTTTTGGAGGTAATCGTTCAACATAACAGCCATATTGATATTTCGGTTTTGACCACCACATGCGTCACTGTACAATAGCAAATGTTCTGTTTGTGCAGATAAGTTTGTTGATAAATGCTTTATCAAACATGAAGCTACTTCTTGAGACCCCCTGGAAGCTATATTTTCACTCCATACATACATGAATCCCTTTTGCAAAACTTCATCATGGATGCCCAAATTGTACGTCCAAAGTTGTCGTTTGTAGGAAACCACACCTGTCTGTATCTATGGCGTCGGAAGAGTTTTTTGAAGATCAAACACCAAGACAGAAATTCTCCTATCAGATCCCTTTGCTTTGTGAACATTTTGGGTTTTATTTGGCTTAACTGCTTGTGCTCGCCTTTGGTGAAATTCCAGCTCGGTATGTGCGACACGTTTGCGGTCTTCTGAAGTACCGCGGTCTTTATTTCCGCATTAAGAGCATCACATTTCTGACACGTATCCTTATGAGGTGCATGAAACTGTAAATCGAATTTAGTATTAAAAATATGGCGAAACATGAATAGGGACAAAGGTTGTCTAGAGCTATCTGAACATTTTTGTTTATATTCTCTGTACATTATTGACATGTTTAGAGTCGGTGACAGAAATTTTCTATTTATATTATCTTTTCTGGCATAATGGGACTCATATGCCGGAAAAAGATTAATAAATTCACATAAAAATTGTTGGTCTTCGAGATTTGTTTTGTTAGGAGGAGAATGCCTGCCTCTGCCATCCTGAAGGGGTGTCCCAGGATGTTGTTTTCTTTTCAGGGCTAATGGAATTTTTCCACTCGCGCCAGCGAAACTTTAGGAAGAAATCAAGAATTTTCACACAGGAACCTAGTTATTCCTCTCATTGCTAACTTCATTCTGACTTCCAAAACAATATCTTAGGGTAGCTCTCTCTGCTCCCGTGGGTTGAGCTACCTATCGGGCGCGTCCCCAGGTGGCGGATAGGGGAAAAGCCAAGGGACTGGAGGCCCTGTCCGGGAAGCCAATGTAGCTTTACGGACGGGGTCGCCGGACTTGTGGTCAGTGGCAGAAATAAGTAGGGTGAGGGGAACTAAAATCCCACAGAAGCCTGTGTAAAACATGTCGTTGCAAAGGGCTATTTGCAAGCCTTTGCAAACAGCCTATCCAAGCTAAGGAATCGTGCCGACAGCTGAATGGCAGCAGGGTGATATGCGGTTACGAACGATCCCTTGGGGAACTGGGCGAAATCTCATTGTAATCAGCCTACCTCTGGTAATGCGGGGCTCTGCCAGAGATGACCAACTCTTCCTTTGCTACTCGTGGGAACACACGTGAATGAAACAAACACGAAAACAGAAACAACAAAAACCAATCCCGAGGCTGGACAGAAGTGCTCACCTCAATCTAAGGCGGTGGCTGGGGATGAACAGAAATGTCCACTCCAATCTACCGCTTGGAATGAGGCTGATCACCATCACCTCGTGATGTAATACAAAGGCCAAGGCGTGAGCGCATTTGTGGCGCCGAGGTCAAAAATGTGCACCCTCCCACCTCCCCCACTCCACCTCCAACAGCAAGGGCACTTCCTGCGGCGGGCGCCAAAAGCTCCGCTTTGAATAAAGGCAAGGAACCGGCTGCCCATGCAGGAAACCTTGTGCACCTCCACGGAGGGAACTCCAAGAAGGTTGAAGAAGCTGTGCAACGACAGTAATGTTGCTGAACCTTCCAAAACCTTCGCGGAGGCCACCTTAAAACACCTCAAGGTTCCCAAAGAGAGTGTGTGTTCGACGAGTCTTGGCCTACACCTGCCAATATAAAGGAGATGTCTCCTAGTGACCTGTCCACCTTCCTGGAAAGAACAGGATGGAGGATGACCTAGAAGGACAACTCCTCGGGATGATGTACAATAGGTCCCGTGTGGTCTCTACTCTACAGATACAGAGCTCTCCTTGCTGCTTTCACAATGAAGACTTTGGTGTATAGGCATACCTCGTCAAAACTGATTCTGTGATTTTGACTTCCTCCAGTAGTGTACCAAAATGCTTTGGTCTTAATATTTCTAATACTTCATTCATCTTCTCTCATATTTTGTCAACACATTTTTAGACAATTAAGAGAAATGAAACTTTTTATGTTTTTTTACCACTTTTATTTGTAACTAACGTTACTGCAGTTTCGTCCTATAAGGACATTTTCAAACTTATACAATATATAAGGACATTTTCAATGAATCAGAATTCAGAGTGGGGACAGAGTGAGAGAGTAATAGATACAGAAAAAGCGAGTAGAGAAATAGAAACTCGGAAAGAGAAATATAGGTATCACACAGCTGCACGCATTGAATTTTGAATTATCTCCTTCAAAATAAAAAAAAATAGCTACGCTCGATAATGTCGAAATGACGTTATTTTTTTACAACTTTGCTGCCCTCCCTTTTCTTTACGTCACTCTCAAATTGTCAGATTACTGGAATATACACTCTTTTGCAGGTAATTAACTCACCCTATCCTAATCTGATGCGCTCGAGAATTTCTGATGATCAATTTTTTTTTACTAATCTGATACTTTATCCCTCACAGGCGTCCTTATATATGGGGCTCATACAAGGTATCTCCCTGTGTATTAATCTGCCGCGCTTTAGTAAATCCCGAAATCCCCGCTTGGGCTCCCCTATTATTATAACCATTTTTCAGAGCAGTACTTCTGGTGAGTGGTTAAAAGTATTATAATTTTTGCTTTTTGCATTACTAAATACGTCATGAATCTATTTAAAGTTAGAGTTAAAATTACGATTTGATGTCTAGAGATTGGTAGTAATCCGATATGATTTGCCATGCTTTCGGGGCCATGAAACCTTCTGGTGGATCTTCTCCTGTTCTTGCAAATTCTGCAAAAAAGTTTTACTCGATTTATTAATTTATACATTTTGAACAAATGCATTTTGAGTTTACGAAGTTTTTCTCATTCAGATCATCTAAAAGAGACTATTATTTCGGAAAAAAGTATAAAGGTTTTGTAGAGGTTACCTAGCCTCTACAAGGTTACTGATATAATCAGTAACCTCTACAGTAGCTGCTAGAAAAGCATACTCACTTCGCATTTTGGTTCCTGAGATAAAATCGAATTCGTCCTTCCTTTGTGGTTTGAAGAAATCCATTTTTTTGTTTGTCATGTCATATGCTGCCACTCTAAATGGAATGATTTCGAGAGAAGTTAATCCGGGAGCCATTTTAAGAACGCGTCCCCCATGCGTTGCTTCATATAAGTTTCCATCTATTGAAGCGTGTTTTCCTTGTGGATGTGGCACCCCTGCTGGATCTCTTCCTACTATGTAGTGGTTGGCACCTGCTACCATCCTTGCTTTTGCATGCCATTGAACCTGGATTAGGGGTAGTTTATAATTAAGATACTTTTTATTGTACGCTTTATTTCAAGTAAATTATTTATTGGTTCTGAAGTATATCATACAGAGTATATCGTACAGTGTCACTATATTTTGGGTTTGAAGGTCGTCAATTTTTAGATTTTTTTCCTAGCGTTTCGCTGACGCAAGTGGCTAGCTTATTCACTGGTTCATACATCTTGAGTTCAACACCGATGACTAAGTATTATGACTGCGTAAAACGTATTCATTTTGACTTAGATAGTTTGGTGTGCTAATACCGTACCTGGATTAGGTTAATTGAGTAAAGCGTTTTTATGTTGACTCAGGTAGTCTGATGTGATAATATCGGTACCTGGATTAGGTAAAGTGTCAATAACATTCGTCGACAGTTTTTTACCTGCCGTCATGCTCTTTGCTATTCTCGAACTTCTTTCTAGTATCTGGGCAAATATAATGATTGTAACGAATTGAATTGTTAATTTCAGTACCAGCACCTCATTTATATTATACTCGTACTGGTTTTATTTCAGCTATTTTACGTTTGACTGGGAAGATACCTTCAGTCCAGAGAGCAATTTATGAGGAGTACAAGAAGTTAGGTTAGGTAGAATATTTCTACATCATCTTCTCCAAATGGTTAGGATTTTTTAGTAGGCTTTTTTAGGCCTTAATAGTTCAATAAAGTCTGATTCAATTGCAAGAGGAAAGAACATAGTCATAAGATTGGAGAACGTTGCTTTTAGTCAAAATTTGGTCAAGGTCATCTTTTTGTCAAGTAATTGTAATAATTTTACCTCTGTTGGACCCGCGTACATCATAGGACTGGGAAAGATCGCCAACACGGTACTGTCTTTATCCAAAATGCCCTGTTCAAGCACTGCCTGGTGCTGTCTCATGCGTATTTCTAGCGGAACGTCGTCGTCTTTCGTCCAACCACCTAAAGGATTCAAGAGCAGCACCGGCTTCTTGTACCCCCTTTGGCGGAGCTGCCTATTTGTATCAGTCATCAGGAGTGCATGCCCATTGTGGATGGGATTGCGAAGTTGGAAAGCAAAAACAGCGTCCGCCTTCATTTCCTTGAATTTCCCTCGGAGTTGGTTGGGAGTCAAACGGTATTCGTCTAAATTGTCGTTCCATTTTATGGGTTTCATAACTTCCAAGTCGCCGCCTACCAACCAGTCGCCAGAGTCGTAGATCATCTGGAATAGGTAAATCCCAATTTCAATGTGAATAGTTACTCGTTAGGTTTTCTATTCTATAAAATGGAATTCAAACGACATTGGTCCACTGCACCGTAAGGGAAGCAAATACCATAAAAAAGAGAAGAAGAAAATATATACATCTCATTTGTTATGTCAGTCCACCTCTTATTTATTTCCTTACTGTATCAATCTACCAAGTTGAGTCGGTGTCAGGTGTGTGGTTTTTCTGTAATTTGAATTGTTAGGTAGTTAACGCTGATACAGTATAAGCAAATGTTTCACTAGTGATTAATAAGTTTTAGGGATAGGTTTTGTTGTATGTAATCCAGCTATAAACAAAGTTTATGCTGAGGAAAAAACGAATATTATTTTCTTGATTCAGTAGATAAACACGTAAGAACGATATAAATGTTAGATACTCAAAATATTATCAGAAAGCGAGAGTAAAATTGCAAATTTTAACCGAGTTTGTATGCAATAAAGAACTTCTTTCTCTCGGATATTTTCCAGCTAGCGTTTCATTTATTCATTGAAAGTTAATCCTGGAAAGAGAACAAAAACTGAAGCTGATGTAGAACATTCGACTAGTAATTGAAAGAAGACTGAAGCAAGAGCAAGCACGATAATCAAACAATAACATGAAAAAAATAGGCAGTAAAAGAGTGGCCTGTTTCAAATATCAAACATTTGAAATGAGGCCAATGTCTTATTAAAAAAATGTAGATGAAATTACAGCTTGGGCTTATCAACTTTTAGAATATAATTTTGTGTGTTCTTAAAAATGTATAAATATAGTTGTATATATGTATTTATATGTTTTGAGAGAGATTTTTCTTCCAATGTCTGAAAGTTACTTCTTTGCATGATCTACACATTTTTGTAAAGGGTTTGTTTTGAATTTGATTGCTGTCTTCTTTTCTTTAGAAAATTCTTACATTTTTGTATATAGGTGGAGAAATAAAAAGCCCTTTTTTCCCAAAAATAAATCTCTCCAAATAATACACCTCTTTAAATTGATCAATATATCGTCAGTTGGAGATGGAGAAGGAAAGAGATGAGTTTGTAAATAAATGAAATGTGCCAAATCTACTGGAAAGGTGTTAATGAAGTTGGTTACTTATTTACAAAATCGCAGGAAGGGTTGTGGTTGAAACTAACATCAAATGAATAGCGTATATTCACCTTGATGTATGGGTGACCTTTATCTGTAGTTCCAAACTGCCTCGCTACTCTTTCTTCTTTTCTGTGATGGTAAATTTCGGGATTTCTCAAGACTGCATACAGATGGTTATCATAATACAGTGAAATTGCGTTACATCCTTCCAATCTCTCTTTATCGCTCGTACCAATGGCTAGCACAATAGGAATGCTCTGGCTGATCCTTTCACCGTCTTTCTCTACGGTATTGAAATGCAAAGCCTAAAATAATAATGATATGATTAATGATATTTATTGACCATTGCCTACATATAGTAGGTCATAAAATGTTATAAGATTAGTCCTCAGGACTTTTTTTCATACAGCTTGGGACCAAAAACAAGAGCATCATGCTGATTCTGAGCAGTGTTTGGCCATGTTTAAGCATGACAAACCTGAATTTTTGCATCAATATGTGAGAATAGATGAAACATGGATCTATCACTTTACTCCGGAATCAAAACGATCGTCATCTGAGTGGAGAGCAACTGCTGAACCTCGTCTAAAGCGACCCAAAGCACAACAAACGACTGGAAAGGCTATGGCCTCGGTATTTTGGCATGTGCGTGGTGTAATATTCAACGACTATCTCGAGGAGGCAAATACCATCAACAGTGAATATTGTATAGCGTTTTTGGAGCATTTGAGGCCGAATTTGCAAAAAACGACCGCTTTTGGTAAAGAAAAAAAATTGTTCCATCAAGAAAACGTACCCTGAAACAAGTCAATCAAAACCACCGTATTCGCCAGATTTGGCTCCTAGCGACTACTGGCTGTTAATAGACTTCAAAAAATGCTCATTGGTGGGAAATTTCGCTCGAATGAAGACCTGAAACTGAAGCCTATTCTGAGGCAAAAGATAAATCGTTCTACAGAAGTGGTATTGAAATGTTAGAGCAGCGCTGCAATTGTATGGCTCTTGATGGAGATCACGTTTATGAATGAAGCTAATTTCGAACAAAAAACCGCGTTTCTGAATGCGTTTCGCAATGCAGATGATGCCTGCCTTCATTTTCATGAAAAATTATACGGTGTATTCGATCGCTGCGTGCCAAAATTCTCGATAAAATCTAAAAATAATCATCCAGACTTTTTCGATGGTGCATTGATAAAGAAAATTCGAACTAAAACAAAATTTTGGTGTAAATACAAAAAAGGGGCGACATTCACACTTTTCACGAATTCAGACATCAAAAGAGCCATTAGAATAGCTTATAAAAAAATCATCCAGAAAACTGAGGGCGAGATTACCCATAAGCCCAATAAGTTTTGGTCATTCAATAACATGTCAAAATATACGAATGATATCGGAGATAAAATGATACATGAAGGCAAGCTACTTGATAGTCCCTCAGATATTCTTGATGGTTTTGCAGATTTCTTCAGTGGTTTTTATATAGTGTCAACATCAAGTGACCATGCGAACAACAGTAGTGATATTCCCAGCTTAGTAATCAGTAAATATTACTGGAGTTTTTTTCCAACACCAAATCGTTATTTTCAACACCTCGACACGTGTTTCGATCACCAAGTGATCATCTTCGAAGAGGATGATGAAGATGATCACTTGATGATCGAAACACGTGTCGAGGTGTTAAAAATAACGATTTGGTGTTGGGAAAAAACTCCAGTAATATTCATTACTACACCAAAGGTTCCAAACAGTGCATCATAAAAACTTTAGTATTGAAGATGTTTATCCTACCCTAAAAAAATAAAGCCAAAATTTACTGCAGGACCTGATCATTTTTTCCAGCATTCATCATTAAATATTGTGCCTCTGCTCTGGTTGAACCACTAACAACCCTAATTAATATATGCCCGAAAACATCAACTGTAGCATCAATATCAATCAATCAATATTAAAAATGTTCGAAAGTCTGCCAAATTTTCAAAAAAGGAGATAAAAGTGAGATAAAAAATTACAGACCAATTTCTATCATATGCAACTTTAGTAAAGTTTTTGAGATGCTTCTTCTTGAAAAGACAAACTATTGTCATGTCAGCAACATGAAAGGACGTTCAACCACCACCAATCTTGTAACAATCACTCAATGTATTCCAGAGGGTACTGATTGTCAGGCTCAGACTGATGTCATCTACACTGATTTTTCTAAAGCGTTCGACATACTTGACCATGGTATTCTTCTCAACAAGCTTTCGACGTTTGTGTTATCCAATCCATTACCCTCTTCAAATAGTATTTTTACAACCGTAAGCAGTACGTCCAACTCAATGGCCTCAAGTCTGTCGAATACATAGTCACATCTGGTGTACCACAAGGATCAAATCTAGGATCCCTACTGTTCAATATGTTCATTAATGATGTCGGAGCTGAGATTGATGTCAATTTCCTTTTATCCGCAGATGCGTTGAAACTGTATCACAATATAACATGTTCTAATGATTGCGAACGTCTGTATTTAAATCGCGTTGCTACATGATGTCGGAAGAATAATCTATCTCTCAACATATCCAAAAGTAATGTTTTACTCACTAAAAACGAACTTGAATTTACACAACTACGTCATAAACAATCAAGTTCTGGAGCGTCCTGACACACTCACTGATCTAGGTGTTACTTTTGATTCATCCCTCTTTCAATAAACATATTGACACAACTCTTACAGCTGCTTATCGCATGTATGGGTTCTTAATTAGAAATACAAAAGACTTCGAAAAAGCTCCAAGATTGAAATTACTTTTCACTTTTATTCGATCTAGGCTGGTATATGTATCTGTCGTGTGGTTCATATAAATCAACTAGAATCCCTACAGAGGCGCTTCCTAAAATATGTGTCTTTTAAACTTGAAGTCACGTATCCTACTGTAGGAATACCCTATTATGAATTGCTTGTAACTCACATTTTTTGTGGTATCGAGGTAAGGCGTGAATATTATTCATTTCTTTTTTTATTCAAGATCATAAACAATATCATCACCTGCTCCCAACTGTTACATATGTTGAACTTTTGGGTTTCTATATGGTCATCTAGGAATAGTGTCACATTTTATCTCAACACCCCGCGTACAAATATAATGAAAAAATCTTAAATTCATACAGTGTGCGATTCCTCTAATTCTGTTAGTAATGTCCTAGATATATTCAACTGCCAGATTATACAAATCAAAAGACATTTATTAGCTAACTGACAGTTCTGTTTTTAATTTTTTTTTATATAGATTCACAAATTATATTATGTGAGTACATATTTGTAAATGCCCCTGTTACTCCCTATTCTGTAATTGGGTTCATCCTGTAGAATAGTGTATGAAATAAATAAATAAATAACTCTATTTTTATGGGTTATGAACACTGTCTCCATTATAAAAATTGATGCAAGATTTAATATCCGATGATTGATGAAATCTTTAATAAAATTCACTTGCTCATACCTGTAATAATTCGTTTTCTCTCATGAAGCCTTTCAGAGGATATGCCCACCCTTCACTTAGTACTTGAATCCACTGCAGATCCACCACTCCTATATCGAGTTTCGGGTTTTTTTCAGCTTCGAGTAACGTTTCTTTCAGTTTATGTTCAGGAACAAATAATTCTGGAACAGTGATATCATGCTTCCCGGAAAACACATCTCCATTAGACATTCCATTCACTTGGGTACTGTCCAGATATTTTGGTATGATTTCCTAAAAATATTGTTATATCATTCCCAAACAATCAGGCAACTAGCTACCTGTTTGTCGTCAGATGAATTACATAGGTCAAACTGGAAGAACTTTCGATGTACGCATGAGAGAACATAGAAACAGCTTCCAGAATGGAAACATGAATTCAACGGTCGTTTCGGTAGTTGAATTGATTGATTATCTGATTGAACTGGAGAGTATCAAAATGATTGTGAATTATGTTATTCAAAATTATCGTTTGAGGGACCTATTGTATAGCCAAAAGCGGTTGTCGAGGTTTTTGTACTTGAATGGGTATTATTTATTTGTGAGTTGTCTTCATATGTTGTATTTGGATGTTGTATTTTTATTTTAGACTCGTATTTGTATGTTGTAATGTAATTTGTATTTGTATATAGAAATGTAGGCTTTCAATGTATGCTATGTATGTAGGCTATTAATGTACTTGTATGTTGTATTGTATTCGTAATCGTATTTATTATCTGTATTTTGTATGTGAATCTGTATTTTTATTTCGTATATTATATTTAATATTTCATATTCTAATTTTGAATTTGTATTTATATTTTGTATCTGTGTTTTGTATTTGTATTCTGGATTTTGAATTTGTATTTTGTACTTGTATTCGTATTTATATTTTGATTTTAAATTTTATATTTGAATTTGTATTTTGTACTTGTATTCGTATTTATATTTTGATTTTACATTTTATATTTGAATTCTGTATTTGTATTTGAATCAATTAATCGCCTGATTGAACTGGAAAGTATTATACTTTAACTTATTCAACATTATCGCTTGAGGAAACGATAAACACATGTAGAGGTTTTTGTAACATCCTCTTAGCGAAAATCTTGCAGTAAATTATATCAGTTATCGAAAATTAATTAATAAAATCTGAGATATGGAAACTTTCCAGTTATATTTACGTTTTCTGTCAGCATCTCCAGAACTAATTCGACGGACTCCGCTATGGATGCACTGACAGTTTTCAGGACCAATTCCGGATGCTCTGGTTTTTGGTACTCTTGATCGATTCCAGTGAATCCTTTGATGAGCCCTTGCCTAGCCTTCTTGTAGAGGCCCTTGATATCTCGCTCTTCGCAAACATTTAAAGGCGTATCAACAAAGACTTCGAAGAAAGGAAGGCCGCTATTTTCATGGATTTTTCTAGCCATCTCGCGATCTGAGGCTTGAGGGGAGATGAAACTGCATAGGCAGATGTGTCCTGCGTCGGCAAATAGTCTTGCTACCTGTGAAAGGAGGGATGTTTATACTAACTACTAAGTACGGGGACTATTAAAAAAATGAGGCGAACTTTCAAATTTCGTGGGCTACATTCCATTACCAACTTTTTAACTTTTTGGTCTTGTTGTATACTGTTCACAGTTTACATTGAATGTAACAACAGGTTATGGGTCCCGAGTGTTGAATCACTGTGAATTAAAGATTGGAATGCAGATTGGATCGATAATGAAGATTGGAAATTATTGATTGTGAACGAGAACGGAGGTTATCAAAGTGCAAAATTGCGGAGGACAATAAGAAATTATACGTGCTGCAAGGTGAAGACAACTACTTTGCCTGGTCAGTTAGAACTGAAGCCAAGTTGGTGAGTGAAAATACTTCGAAAGCTATAGAGCCAGGATTTGGAAACGATATTAACGGTCTGAATAATGACAAAGCTCGTCAAAACAGAAAAGCAAGGTCCTTGATTTTTTCTTTGGTGTCAGATGCTATTTTAGAAAACATAGGAAATATATAACTTGCAAAAACTATCTGGTAAACGTTGATAGGATTATATGGTACTTTTACATTGCTACATAGTATAATTACCATGAAATACATGACAAGGTTAGAGAAGACAAATGATATGAATATGCAAGAATATTTCTCAAAGATGCAAGGCTTGAACAGAAAACTTATTCGGGGAAAAATTGAGTTTACTGACCAAACCATTGCCATGTTATTACTAGCTGGACTTCCTTTGGATCAGTATTGAGGGTTGGTTTAAAGTTTGGAGGAGAACGATAACTTGACGACTGCTGAGGTGAAATTATTTCTTTGTACCGTGGAACTACATTTTGAAAATATTAAATTATTAAGTTCTTTTAGAAAATCAGAATCTTCAAGGTTGGAGTAAACAATTGTAAATACACCGTTTTTCAGTTTTATTACAGTATACAGTGCATTTCTTTAATGTCACCCCTTTCATTTTTTGAACGAGTCAAATTTCCCAAATTTCAAAATTGAAATTTGGGACAATGAAATTAATTCATGCATATTTATTTTGAAGTGAAATTAACAGATTAAACTTTCAAGATGGCGACTGGGACGAAAAAAAATTAAATGGACAGGGGTCTTGTGATACATCATTGTGAAGATCCTGATGAATACTTCACATTCCTAGAATATGAAGTCAATATCTTTACCTACTACAAAATGGTCAAACATTTAATAATTTTCTAGAAATATTCCTTTTTATCTGCCATATGGCAATTCCAACAACCCGATAAGGTTTATTAAGTTATATTTCGNCATCCCAAACAATTAGCTGTTGTTTTTCAATGCACAACTACTTACTTTTACTTACTTTTCGATTTCATTATTTTTTGTTGATCAAATAGAACTACTGAAGTTTTTTTACCTCTGCAACCCTCCTGATATTCTCTTTTCTATCTTCCTCGGAAAATCCCAAGTTTTTGTTCAATCCGTGCCTCATGTTGTCACCATCGAGGCTGTAAGCTGCCAATCCGATAGACACGAGGCGTTCTTCCAAGGAGAATGAAACTGTTGTTTTTCCAGCTCCTGAAAGCCCTGTGAACCATATCGTGCATCCACGGAATCTGTCATTCCCATTTTTTCCCATAATTCGACTTCTTTTTTCACGGGACACATGATGGGATTGTAGTTTCACGTTGGTTGCTTTTTGGATCTCCTGCAAAAAGAAAATTAAATTGAAACGGTTTTGGAAGGTTTAAAACGTATTGGAAAGGTTACAAAGCTTGATTTGAACGATCTACATGAACGATCTACATAAACGATCTACGACAACAGGAGACGTTCAGGATCAGGTACTTTCCAAAGGCAAAATCCAACCAATACAAAGACCATGGTTACTGTATTGTGGTCAGCGGCTGGTGTGGTTCACTATAACTTTCTGCAACCGGGTTAAACCATCACAGCAGTGGTTTTTCTGGACCACTTTTGCAGCACTGTTCTACGACAACAGGAGACGTTGAGGACAGTGGTTGGACACCGATGAGCCATCCAGGCACTTTCCAAAGGCAAAAACCAACCAAAACAAGATCATGGTTACTTTATAGTGGCCAGCGGCTGGTGTGGTTCACTATAACTTTCTGCAACCGGGCCAAACCATCATAGCAGAGTCCTGTTGGATCCCAGACTGAGACCAAGAGAGCACACCATTTTTGTGCTGACGGAACAAACGTGCAAAACTTTTGAAACAACCTTAATACTACTATGTAATCTCCTCCAATTATCTCATAGCATCAAATTGTATAGAGCTGTTGAACTACATATCGGCTTGAATAGCTTTCTATATTGGATTGAGGTTAGTTTTATAATACTTATAGGAGTAATTGTAAGAAGGTACAACTTTGACAGTTCCTACAGAACTTCAAGCAGTAGGTACTAACAAGAGATATCATCATAATATCACTTATATAGTTTACAATACATGTTACACAAAAATATTATTTTCATGCTCTTTCAGGGAGTAAAAACAACTTGTTACCATAAAGTCTTTTACTTTTTTCCTGAATTTGAGAAAATTTGTTCCACTTCTGATGCTCTGTGGTAATAAGTTGAAATATTTCGTCCCGGCATGAAGTGGCGAACCTTTGTACTCGTTACGGTTTATTTTTTTCTGGTGGAAATCGCTATCCGTCTCGTTTGATGAGAGCGAATTTCCGCATTTCCTAATGGAAATTTGTATGAACGTAGGTCAATATTTTGAAGAGATGAATACATGGTAATGTTAATTTTTTTTGTCTTGGAATGTTTTCTTACAAGATACTCGTATTTGAGATAAAAAATTATTCCAATGAAACGTTTTTGTAATGAGTGTCCCCAAATGATAATATGTATACAGTGTGTCAACTTTGAAACCTTCAATTGGACCCATTGTAATTTTTAAAATTGACACAGTGTATGAAGCTTAGAATAAACTAGGCCGTAGCACCAAACGGTGCTAGACAACCGCCGAAATAAAGTTGAAAGAGATAGCAGAGGTAATGAACATAAACATTTTAGACGCAATAAATCCCAGTTTTGGGGCCGATGAATGATGAAACTTGGATATACCATTATACGTCCGAAACAAAAATGCGGTCCAAACAGTCGGCTGCAAAAAAGTAAAAGCTGTTCTTCGGCTGGAAAAGTGATGGTGACTGTTTTTAGGGGCATCAATGAATTTATTTTGATTTGATTATATTGAAAAAGGAACAGCCATTACAGGAGCATACTACGCATGATTACTTGACAAGCTGAAGACAGGAGTTGCAGAAAAACTGCCACATTTGCAGAAAAAGAAAATCCTGTTTCACCGAAACAAAGCCCCGTCTCACACCTCGCGGTTGCCATGGCGAAACTCCACTCACCGGATCTAGCCTCAAGCGACTTCTTTTTGTTTCCTCATCTGAAAATTACGGTTGAAGGACAGATATTTTCGTCAAATGAATAGGAAATTACATTTGTGGGCAATTATTTTGCAGATAAAAAATGCCGAGTGCTATTTGGACGGGTTACAAAGATGGTATAATCAGCGGAATAAGTGTATAGAGTTGAGAGGAGACTGTGTTGAGAAATAAACAAGAATCTGAAAAACCCCCGTGTTTGCCTATATCAGCTGTTGCAAATTATAACGAAAATTTTGGTTGAGCATTCCGTTTTGCATTTATAATGCGCGTTTATTACATTTTACTATTAAGAAACAGATTATGGGCGGAATTTGAAAATTCGAAGACTTCTGTGGAGGGAATTCCTCAATAATTTTATTACTGAAAAAGTTTTAGAAATAGCGCATTCTTAGACCGTAACAAAATTCTCTCTACCATTGGGTAGATTCCAATTGTAAAATCTTATGTAAGATGTGTTACGAGATCACATACACGTAGTGTGATGACTATAAAAATTGCGACATACCCAGTTATGAATGTTATTTCCACCTTTTCCCATACTTCGCTCAAAATACGTGGTCGACTTGCAATCGCGAACGTTTTTTACAGACTACATTAGCGAAAGTCACCGGAACATGAAACGGATGGGTCCAGAGAAAGTTGGACGGTAGTTTCGAGACTGAGAGGTATTAATTTCCGCGTCGATGATCGGAATATCGATATTTTTCAAAATAGTAAACATGGTGTTCGGACTTTTGTTGGCAAAAAAGATACAGGATTGAAAGGAGTAGGTATATTTTTAGAAGGAATTAAAACGAAAACATTTTATTTCGATCTCGTTGTTATTTATCTTAAACAGGAAAAAATCATTTGAACAAATGTACAAAATGTTCTCCTTGAACCCACTGACAGTAAAACAGTTTATTTTCGAATGTTTTTGGGGTAATGCTGGCACAAGTTCTGGTAATTCTGTCCCTAAGTTACCGTATTATTCCTAGTTGTTTTAACAATAACTTTTGATTTGATAATGCCTCAAAGAAATTAATCGGGAGGAGTCAAATTCGGTGAACGAGTAGGCCATTCCAACAGACCGAGCCTACCAATCCACATGCCTGTGTATGTGTGATCCAAATAATCTCTCACAGGCCTAATGAATGTGGGGGGCGTGCTGCCATATTGGAAAACCACTTAACAACTGGATTTTCGAAATTATCCTAATTGTTGGCTATAACCAATGATATGACATTTAGTTTTTTAGGAGTTTTAGGGTCACTGTCTCGAAAATTATGTGGGTTCATATCTGACCAATCTCGCACATTTTGGTGATTAACATTTCCGTTAAAAAGTACATTCGTCACAAAACCTCTGTGCAACCTGTGATGACTAAGTTTGGAGCTGTTTCAATCCTCTTTTGGTTGCAAAGTTATATACGAATTATCATTTTCACTAGTCTCCAATTCATGCACCAATAACTCCGCCCCGGTTATCCAAATTCAAAACAGTAAAGGTAATTGTAAAGAGAATTGAAAAATATTTCGAGCGATGGCCACAAGACACCCCTTCTATTTGAAACAAAAAAGTTGAGAACGCCCTCTACGAAATTGGTTTCTTTTTATGAAAATTTTGTCTGACTTATATGTCCGCAATTTTTACACCTTTTACATCTTTTTACATCTTTCCTTCATTAGAACAAAAATGATGTCTCTCGACGAGCGTTTCGACAACCAAATTATTTATTTTCTTTCTTCTGTATTTCAATCTTACAATAAATTGTCGATTAAAATGTCTTTGTCAGAGATATTTGAATCTTCAATTATATCAGTGATTTCGTCTTCAAATGTGTTAGATGCAATTGAGTATTCTTCAGATAGCAGTAACTATAGTGAACTTCACAAGAGATAATTGAGGTATTGCCAGTAGTTTCATGAATATGAATATTACTGGAGTTTAATTCCAACACCAAACCGTTATTTTCAACACCTCGACACGTGTTTCAATCACCAAGTGATTGAAACACGTGTCATGGAACCGTTTCCAGGTAGAAGATTGCTTTTATGAACAACAGGAGGGAATTGCTATGTATAAACCCTTGTCTCCCTACCTGGCAAACCTGTTCATGACCAAATAAAAATCAGAGTATTTCCCTAGGATATGGCTGAGATATTGATGTTTTTGCGACATTCGATAACAAAAAATTGAATATTGAGGACTTTGTTTATTTATCAAATAACGGATTTCCATCAATAAAATTCACATATGCGTCATCGGTGAATCATCAAGATGAATAAACCTCTGAAGAAGCCAGCCATTCGTGCTAGCGAAACGTTAGGATGCAGTTCCAAACTACGACGGCCTTCAAACCTGAATGGAGATAGTAACACTGGATTCGCGTATGAGGAATATGGGACAATTTCCATTTCTTGACGTTTTGGTAATGGGGAGTTAATGGGGAAAGCTAGAATATGATGTATTCAGGAATATCAAAAGTTACAACAACATGCTTTTTCAATTTATAGTAAACCGGCACATACAGATATTATCATTCATAATTCGTCTACTCACCCATATCAGCTTAAGGTAGCAGATCTCAACAGTATGATCCACCGACTGATAAATAAATGTGCCCTTGTCAGAGGCGAATTTCAATAAAGAACTGAATATAATAAAGCAAGTAGCCGTCAGTAATGATTACGATAGCGGTCTGATATACTCTTTATTATCAAAAAAGTTATGCGGTCAAGCTTTGAAAGAAGTTTACCCAATTCGAAGAGAAGAGAATAAAAGTTATAGAACCATAATCTACTTAGGCCAACCCATTACAAATATTTTCTGCACAGCAAAGGTGTAAATACTGCTTTCAAAACCAACAACAACCTAGGCATGCACATTAAGAATAACAAAGATAAATGTTCAGTTTCAGAAAAATCAGGAGGTGTGAGTCATGTCCGATTTTTTATATAGGTCAAACTGGAAGAACGTTCAAAGCTGCATAAAGGAACACAAATATAGTTTTCAGAATGGAGAAATAAAGTCCACATATTCCAGTCATTTTATCTCAGAGGGAACTGAGTTCAACCATGAATACAAACCCCTCCATTTCCAGAAGAAAGGTTTTACAATTCAATATTACAATAAATAATGAAATTTGGAACAATCATGAAATACAAATCAATTCAAAAAACTAAAATTATAAAAAAATCACATCAAAGGTGCTGCTTCGTTCCCTCCTGTTCATAAAAGAGGACATATGCCTCATTGCTCACAAGTGATTTTGGCGAAATTGGGAACACGTGTGAATCGTTGTATTCATGCCACGTGCCACTATATGGGTGTCTGCAATATGCTGTGTAATGTCCGTTGTAAGTAGTCCCTCTGTTATTTGAAAGTGCATATAGATCATAACGACAAGGAGCCATATTGTCTGCTGCATAACTGCTCATATTTAATCCATCTGAAGAAAAGTCAATGGAAACATTCAATTTGCCTCTGAATCTTTCCGTTGGAGAGAATATTTTCAAATGAATTACTAAAATACGGGGAAACTTATAGATTGATAATGATTTTGTACATTTTCTCTTTTGCTTGCACCTCGAACACATTGGTTTTTCATCTCCATCCAGAGTTTCCACTCTTGTGAAAGAATCCAAGCAATGCGGCCAGTTCTTTGTGGTATGGGTAGAGACAAATCCCAGAAAGGATCAAAGGTTACTGATGAGTGTCCACAGTGTGTGCACTTCATAGTGGATTTTAATTGACCAACGAAATAGTCTACAATCTTGGAGTTGTTCATTTTCAAATATCTCTGCCAGGACTCTTGTGCTTTTCCGTTATCGGTCAATTTTTCGTCAATCTCAGTTTATATCGGTTCAGGTTTCTCAGTAATTCTGTTGAGGTCCTCATGTAAACCTTCTAAAATATATCGAAGGAATTCGTGAGCGTCTTGATGGGCAGAACCCATGAATCGAGAGGCAAATCTTTGAATCTGATTTTTGAAGTAGACTGTGTTGATTACTCTATCAGGTGAATCTTCTGACCACAATTCCTTGATAACTTCTGCGAACGCTTTGATCAAAACACCTTTCATACTAGAAATACTAGTACTGATATCTTCCATGCATGTATCCTTCTTTAGGTATTCCAGCAACCATCCCGTGTTTGATAAACATTGGATTATATTGTTCATGTAACAGGTGTTTCCAAGATTTTTCAAACCATTGAACCCAAGTGTTTTTACTGAAGAATGTATCACCGATTTATTGTTGCAACTACATTTGCCACTACTATCTTCTGAGTAAACACGGATACGATGATTCACCATTTCTTGCACTGTCTGTACATGCCGATATATTTTGTTCATGAAAAACATTGGTAATTCACTTAGGGTTTTTGATTGAGGAATTGTACCTAAACATGAAGCTGCATTTCCTCTTTGAAATAGAATGCTGATTTTTTGTATCAAAAAAGAGGTAGCTCTTGGGTCATTTGTCTCTTTGGATATGCTAATGTCGATTTCACGAATGAACTCCAATGCTTGGGGGCCTAAGGTACCAAATGTTTCGATTCCTATTGCATAAAAAATGAAATTATCTCCCAAATAATTGTATTTCCGTGTTTTTGACAATTCCGCTGATGAAGCTGCTGCATCGCTGGACACAGAAAGGTTTGAAACTTAACCTGTTGGAGAGTGTGGAAATAAACAAAAACTCTCAACAGCTCATGAACGATTAAACTGAATTGAATAATTCGCCATTATTGAATCTGTTCATTTCCAGGTAAAAATAGTTAGGTATATTTTCAGGTACACTTTCAAAAAATTTATTGATTTTGTTAATGAATTCATACCTGACCTTTTCAGGTAGATTCATTATTTAGGTAGACGAGTAGGTACTAGGTTAGAATATAAAATGGTTGTAATTCAGAAGTAAGTCTCAGGTATGCTTGAGGAAGCTATTGTATAGCGAAAAGCAACCCTCCTGATATTCTCTTTTCTATCTTCCTCGGAAAATCCCAAGTTTTTGTTCAATCCGTGCCTCATGTTGTCACCATCGAGGCTGTAAGCCGCCAATCCAATAGACACGAGGCGTTCTTCCAAGGAGAATGAAACTGTTGTTTTTCCAGCTCCTGAAAGTCCTGTGAACCATATGGTGCATCCGCGGAATCTGTCATTCCCATTTTTTCCCATAATTCGACTTCTTTTTTCACGGGAAACATGATGGGATTGTAGTTTCACGTTGGTTGCTTTTTGGATCTCCTGCAAAAAGAAAATTAAATCATAACGGTTTTTGAAGGTTTAAAACGTATTGAAAAGGCACAAAGCTTGAAAAAGCTCGATTTGAACGATCTATATAAACTGTCACGTTTAGAGGTCTGTTCTTTGCTTTTGCCTGACCCAAACAATCCTTTTTCGAATCGGAACGTCACGTGTTATGAATAGTGGATCATCTACAGCGCTACGACAACAGGAGACGTTCCGGATCAGGTACTTTCCAAAGGCAAAAACCAACCAATAAATAGCCCATGGTTACTGTATTGTGGTCAGCGGCTGGTGTGGTTCATTATAACTTTCTGCAACCAGGTCAAACCATCACAGCAGTGGTCCTTCTGGACCACTTTTGGAACCACTATTCTACAATAATAGGAGACGTTGAGGACAGTGGTTGTTCACCGATGAGCCACCTACACTTACCAAAGGCAAAACCAATCAAAAAAGGATTATGGTTACTGTATTATGATCAGCGGCTGGTGTGGTTCAGTATAACTTTCTGCAACCGGGTCAAACCATCACAGCAGTGGTCCCTCTGGACCACTTTTGGAACCACTGTTCTACGACAACAGGAGACGTTGAGGACAGTGATTGGACACCGATGAGCTACCTAGGCACTTCTCGAAGGCAAAAACTCACCAAAAAAAGGATCATGGTTACTGTATTGTGGTCAGCGGCTGGTGTTGTTCATTATAACTTTCTGCAACCGGGTCAAACCATCACAGCAGTGGTCCTTCTGGACCACTTTTGCAACCACTGTTTTACGACAACAGGAGACATTGAGGACAGTGATTGGACATCGATGAGCTACCTAGGCACTTCTCGAAGGCAAAAACCCACCAAAAAAAGGATCATGGTTACTGTATTGTGGTCAGCGGCTGGTGTTGTTCACTATAACTTTCTGCAACCGGGTCAAACCATCATGGCAGAGTCCTGTTGGATCCCAGACTAAGACCAAGAGAGCACACAATTTTTGTGCTGACGGAACAAAGTGTAAAACTTTTGAAACAACCTTATAACTAGTATGTAATCTCCTCCAATTATCTCATAACATCAAATTGTATAGAGCTGTTGAACTACATATCAGCTTGAATAGCTTTCTATTTTGGATTGAGGTTAGTTTTACAATACTTATAGGAGTAATTGTAAGAAGGTACAACTTTGACAGTTCCTACAGAACTTCAAGCAGTAGGTACTAACAAGAGATATCATCATATACATCATATCATCGAAAGTCAGCAATTAGGATCTTGAAGTGGATTCTAACAACAAATAACGAAATCATTATACAGTTAAAATTCATTTAATTTCCTTGAGAACTATGTATTGTCTCTATGTCAGATCACTCGATGTTTGTGAGTGAGGTCACTTTAGTAAGTGATCAAGTCAATATTTATTCATCATTTACAAATATTTTTGATAAAATATCACTTATATAGTTTACAATACATGTTACACAAACATATTATTTTCATACTCTTTCAGGGAGTAAAAACAACTTGTTACCATAAAGTCTTCGACTTTTTTCCTGAATTTGAGAAAATTTGTTCCACTTCTGATGCTCTGTGGTAATAAGTTAAAATATTTCGCCCCGGCATAAAGTGGCGAACCTTTGTACTCGTTACGGTTTATTTTTTCCTGGTGGAAGTCATTTCTCCGTCTCGTTTGATGAGAGCGAATTTCCTCATTTCCTAATGGGAATTTGTATGAACATAGCTATATTTTGTAGAGATGAATAGATACATGGTAATGTGAAATTTTTTTGTCTTGGAATGTTTACTTACAAGATTCTCTGTATTTGAGATCATTGCATTATAAAGATTTTATTCATTAGTAATATTTATACAATGTGTCAATTTTAAAACTTACATTGGGCTATATCTCACGAACGAAAGCTGATATCGAAAAATGCTTGAAACTGTTTCTAGGATAGTAAGGAGGAACTAAAGTGACATGAAAGAGAACTCACCCCCGTCAACCCCCTAGGCCCCACCCACCAAAACTCAAATATTTAATGAGGTTTCTGTTGAACTACAAATTTATTAAAAATGTCATATAAGTAAATGTTCAAAGTGGGTTCCGTTGTTTTGTAAACAATAAATAATTGTACAGGTTGAAACAATAATTGTGAAACTTTGGCTTAAATGGAATATTAAATGAGGTTTTTTTTGGCTACAAATTTATTAAAAATGTCAATTAAGTAAATGTTCAAAGTGGGTTCCATTGTTTCGTAAACAATAATATAGTCTATTGTCAAAGTCTGCACCTACTTTAATATCAGCCGGCTTACTATGACTTTTTTATTTGTAATGCTTCCTCCTGGACTATTATTTTAAATGATAAGTGTCGGTCGATACTTTTTTTGTTAAATAAAAATTTAATTTGCCGTTTTTGCAAAACAAGTTGGAAAGATCTGTTTTTTTTTGGGTTCTGTCATAGTCAATAATTTTTGGTTTGTTTGAAACTTTTAAATGTCATTAGTTTTCATCATTTGTACGATCTGTAATGTCATTCAGCTGTAGTTGTCACGATAGTTTACAGTATACCTGAGCGCGTGGAGATAATTTTCATATTTGCTTCCCAGAACCAGTATTATTTAAAAACATATTTCATGAAAGGTATCCGGACAAAAATGTAAGTCTGTACGTCCGCGATCTAGTTGAAAAGTTTAGAGAAACGGGATCAGTGCAAAATAAAAAAAGGAATGCCCCGAAATTACTGAATAAAGCAACCCAAATGAGGTCCTTGGAGCAATGGAGCCTACTGCATCAACACGTCAAGTATCTGCAGTGACAGGACTTTCACATGAGTCGGTTAGAAAGGTGTTGGAATTACATAAGTTTCACCTGTATAAAATAGAAATTCTTCAAGAACTAGGCGATGATAATCCAGACCGACGAATTGAGTTTTGTGAACTCATGACTGAAAGAATTCGCGTTGAACCGAGAATGTTAAAAAATATTTGTTTCAGTGATGAATGTACTTTTATGCTGAATGGTAATGTAAATAAACAAAATTGTCGGTACTGAAGTGATGCGAACCCGCATCGATTCAGAGAAGGTCTCACTCAATATCCTGAAAAACTGAATGCCCTGAATTGGGCGGGAATATTAGGTGATGCTATACTGGGTCCCTTGTTCATACCAGGCAATTTAAGTGGGGACATTTATCTCGATATGCTGGAAAACACCATCGAACCTTTAATTGTGCATGAATTAGAGGACCAAAGGGATGACCAAAGCAACTTCGCTGTAGACGAAGATTTGCTGAACTTCCAACAAGATGGAGAACCTCTACACTATGTAGCTCCAGTTAGGCACTGGTTGGATACTAATTATCCGAACAAATAGATTGGAAGGAGAGGTCCCATTGAGTGGCCACCGAGGTCACCAGACTTGGCGTCACCTGACTTTTTTCTGTGGGGTCACCTCAAGTCAGTTAAAACTCAACCTGCGTCACTTGGGGAATTGGGAGAAAGAATTACGCAAGTATGTCGCTCCATTACTCCAATCTCTGTTTGAAATCTGTTTTTCCTAGAAACTATCCTAGAAACGGTTTCGATATCAGCTTTCGTTCGTGAGATATAGCCCATTGTAATTTTTAAAATTGACACAGTGTATGAAGCTTAGAATAATACACTAGGCCCTAGCACCAAACGGTGCTAGACGACCGCCGAAATAAAGTGAAAGAGATAGCAAAGGTAATGAACATGAACATTTTAGACGCAATAAATCCCAGTTTTGGGGCCGATAAATGATGAAACTTGGATACACCGTTATACGTCCGAAACAAAAATACAGTCCAAACAGTCGGCTGCAAAAAAGTAAAAACTGTTTCTTCGGCTGGGAAAGTGATGGCGACTGTTTTTAGGGGCATCAATGAATTTATTTTGATTTTTGATTATATTAAAAAAGGAACAGCCATTTCAGGAGCATATTACGCATCATTACTTGACAAGCTGAAGACAGGACTTGCAGAAAAACTGCCACATTTGCAAACGAAAAAGAAAATCATGTTTCACCAAAACAAAGCCCCGTCTCACACCTCGCAGTTGCCATGGCGAAACTCCACTCATCATATCTAGCCTCAAGCGACTTCTTTTTGTTTCCTTATCTGAAAATTGCGCTTGAAGGACAGATATTTTCGTCAAATGAATAGGAAATTACGTTTGTGAGCAATTATTTTGCAGAGAAAAAACGCCGAGTACCTACTATTTGGACGGGTTACAAAGATGGTATAATCAGCGGAATAAGTGTATAGAGTTAGAGGAGACTGTGTTGAGAAATAAACAAGAATCTGAAAAACCCTCGTGTTTGCCTAATCAGCTGTTGCAAATTATAACGAAAATTTTGGTTGAGCATTCCGTTTTGCATTTATAATGCGCGTTTATTACATTTTACTATTAAGAAACAGATTATGGGCGGAATTTGAAAATTCGAAGACTTCTGTGGAGGGAATTCCCTCTATAATTTCATTACTGAAAACGTTTTAGAAATAGCGCATTCTTAGACCGTAACAAAATTCTCTCTACCATTGGGTAGATTCCAGTTGTAAAATCTTATGCAAGGTGTGTTACGAGATCACATACACGTAGTGTGATGACTATAAAAATTGCGACATACCCAGTTATGAATGTTATTTCCACCTTTTCCCATACTTCGCTCAAAATACGTGGTCGACTTGCAATCGCGAACGTTTTTTACAGACTACATTAGCGAAAGTCACCGGAACATGAAACGGATGGGTCCAGAGAAAGTTGGACGGTAGTTTCGAGACTGAGAGGTATTAATTTCCGCGTCGATGATTGGAATATCGATATTTTTCAAAATAGTAAACATGGTGTTCGGACTTTTGTTGGCAAAAAAGATACAGNTATTTTTATTTCGTATATTATATTTAATATTTCATATTCTAATTTTGAATTTGTATTTATATTTTGTATCTGTGTTTTGTATTCTGGATTTTGAATTTGTATTTTGTACTTGTATTCGTATTTATATTTTGATTTTAAATTTTATATTTGAATTCTGTATTTGTATTTGAATCAATTAATCACCTGATTGAACTGGAAAGTATTATACTTTAACTTATTCAACATTATCGCTTGAGGAAACGATAAACACATGTAGAGGTTTATGTAACATCCTCTTAGCGAATATCTTGCAGTAAATTGTATCAGTTATCGAAAATTAATTAATAAAATCTGAGATATGGAAACTTTCCAGTTATATTTACGTTTTCTGTCAGCATCTCCAGAACTAATTCGACGGACTCCGCTATGGATGCACTGACAGTTTTCAGGACCAATTCCGGATGCTCTGGTTTTTGGTACTCTTGATCGATTCCAGTGAATCCTTTGATGAGAAAGAATATTCAAAAACCTTATAAAAACAGGATGTGACAGTAATGGGCCTATAATTTTCAAGATTTGCTGGATTTTGCTTTTTGTATACTGGGATGACTTTGCCGATTTTCAATAAAGATGGAAAACATCCACAAGTGAAAGAAAGATTAACTAGATAAGATAGGGGCGAAATAATATGACGTAACACCTTCTTCAAAATAAATGACGGAATCTCATCTAGCCCCGACGAGGCTTCATTCTTCAATTTATTCGACATCAACTGTAATAATTCACGTTCTGAAAAGGGTGCTAGAAACAGGGACTCATTGAACCCAATTATTTCAGGTTCGGGAAGTTGAGCTGTCCTTTGAGGCCTATGTTCACTGAGAAGTTTGATTGGCATATTTATGAAAAATTCATTAAATAAATTACTGATTCTCTCTGGGTCTTCAACATATTCATTTTCATGCGAGATAGAGATATTATTAAAGGAATGTTTTCTCGTACGATTAGTCAAATCAGATACTACATTCCAAGCCATTTTTGCAGAATTGTTTGCAATAAATATTTTACTTTGGCAGTAGGATCACTTATTCATGTTGCTTCTTTGCAGATGCATAAGTTTCGTTCAGGATGGGAAAACTACATTTTAATAGAAATAAATCCTTCAGTTTAATGCTCGACTTCCTAACATTATCATTAATCCACAATTTATTGGAATTTTTTGAACCATAATGCCTTCTGAGTGGAAAACAGATGTTGAAGTGGTAAACAAAAATGTCGTTGAAAGTATTATATGCGTCTTCGACATTGGAAAAATTTTACACGTCATTAAAAGACTCTCTCTCTAATGATTGGATGAATCCATTCACGTTATTAGCACTGAAGCTTCTGCAGATTTACCTGACCCTTAGGTAAGGCTCTTGGCTCTTATCGAGCAACGTATAAATTGGTAGCAAATTGCCAAAAACGACTCTCCTCGATAGGAAGAATCAACAGATTGTCTCTGGTCTGGATTCCTGGCCATACTGGCCTGGAAGGCAATGAGGCTGCTGACTCCCTTGCAAATGAGGACCAGAACCTGTCATTGGCATCGCTTTAGGCTTGCCAAACAAACATTGAACACCTGGATGGCAAGAAGATTTATGAACTTCTGGCAGACTCTTCCAGGATTGGCTCACTCCAAGGCGTTTATTCACCCTTCGAAGCTTCATACCAAAAAAGATCTATTAAAATAAGATATAAGGAATACTTAGCACACCTACAATATGGCAGATCAGGAAAATCAGAAGGCGCCTATCATATTTTGCAAAAAACCTTCCTATAAACTTCAGTTCATTAGGATTAGTTGGACAAGTTAACAACAACAGGCATCTAGATGCCTATGAGAATGTAGAAATATTATGAATAACGATAGTGAACCGATACCTTATAGTATACTATATAGCTTGTTGAAATAATATTTTATTATCAGATTTACCTGACCGTTAGGTAAGGCCCTTGGCTCCTATCGAGCAACCTATAAATTGGTAGCAAATTGTCAAAAACGACTCTCCTCGATAGGAAGAATCAACAGATTGTCTCTGGTCTGGATTCCTGGCCATACTGGCCTGGAAAGCAATGACGCTGCTGACTTCTTTTTGAAGGAGGGTGCTGCAAGTAGCTCCATCAGACCAGAACGTGTCTTTGGCATTGCTTTAAGCTTTGCCAAACAAACATTGAAAACCTGGATGGCAAGAAGATTTATGAACTTCTGGCAGACTCTTCCAGGATTGGCTCACTCCAAGGCGTTTATTCACCCTTCGAAGCTTCATACCAAACAGTTGTTGGACCATACTAGGGATAAGCTATGATGTCTAACAGTCCTTCTCACAAGTCACTGTCATTTGAATCATCATATGCAGAGACTCGGACTGTCGGTAGACAGTGTCTGTCGCCTCTATTTGAAAAATGATGAAACAGCAGAGCACATACTTTGTTCCTGCCCCGCTGCGGACCGAATCAGGTTTAATTTGCTCAAGTATGAATATATGTGAGCCACAATAAACCCTTGCGGGTTGCGATGGAGGTTTGAATAGAGCCACTCACTTTTGACCTAAGCTAACCTAACCCAGATGAGGCAATATTGTGGAATTAATTTAATACTAGTGGATAAGGCAACATGTAAAATTAATTTCAGATAATTAAGACGCAGGTACGTAGCAGAGGTATTCAATAGTGTATGTAGTTTAGTTTAATCTTCCTCTGGAACATGATCACTTGGTGATTACAACACGTGTCGAGGTTTTAAAGGTTTGGTGTTGGGATTACACTCCAATAATATTCATTACAACACCAAAGGTTCCAAATAGTGGATCACAAGAAGTTTAATGTTAAGCTTAGATATTTTGTATATACTGTCGGGAATAGAGGGAAAATATATACGATTCGCCTAGATATTCTACACTCGTTCTTTATAAACGGACATTTTTCAAAGATTCAAATAGGACGATTGAAGGTTTGACAAACACTCACCATTTTCTTTCATTCACTGTAGTGCTGCTTCCGCAAATTTAGTTTCTTTGTAAAAGTTTTAACGCAGTTCGCTTTTATAAATATCAAATTTTACGCTACTGTGCACACAAGTTTTTCATATGAAGAACAAAGAGTTTAATGTTTGCAAAGCTCAAAAACGAAACAGATATCAGCTACAGCAGCAGCTCAATGTTCGGAGGCCCTCGCCTCATATTGGGAGATCTACTATGTGTCACGATATCGATAATCTGATCTCAGATTCATGTAAATATCCTCATCTTTGTTTAGTTGTTGGAGTCAATGTTCTCTCTTCAATGGCCAGTCCATATTATGACGTAACTGTGTGCGTGGTAATTTTTTGTTGAGTTATGGCTCAAGATGAACTCTCAATCGATACTCACTAATGATTTGGAAAAACTGGTCTGCATGTAAATATGTATGGAAACCAGAAATCATCCTATTTCTGTTGGATTAGTGTATCTTAAGAGTGTTAAAGTTTTGTTTACAATTTCCGCTGTTTGCACAATTTGAAGGCCGCTCGTAAATTTTTGCAGTATGAACGACAAACTGTAACAGTTTTTCAATATCGCCTTGATAATTCGTTATATAATTTAATCGATATTTTTTTTTACTTGCCTAAACTATCATCGATTTATATTTACCTATATCGAAAAAATTAATTGAGGCAATCTTGGCAATGAATGCAATCAATTTTATGATTTGTGTTTCTGTATTTTTGACTTCAGTGTATTTGATACTGTTTCTGAATAGTCGGTGTTTTCATACAAAGTACAGAGATATCTCAACTCCAAACACTCTAGTTCGCACAGATAAATTACTTTTCACTAATCTTGTCTTGTGAATCGTTTGAATATATTTGCCGTGTCGTTTATTAAACTTGTATACACTTTGAGACTGTATCGGGTTGTTTCAAAAGTGTTGTGTATTTCAATTTGTTTTTGTAGCTCCAATCTCAATAAATCGCTGAAATCTCGAAAAAGCTAGCAGGAATTTGGCAATGATGGTTTTAATGAACGTCCTGTTCGACGTTGGTTTGAGAAATTTCATTCCAGAGAGTTCACCTTCGAAGATGAGCCCCGAAATGGTCGATATACAGTAACCCAGGACGAGTATTTGATAACCCTGGTGGAGACTGACTATCACAAACGGTGCGTGAGGTGGCGGAAGAACTGGTCGAGGTCAGAACGATGAGCAGCAGCAACACCGATGCCATCAACACGCTGACCGCATCATCGACTCCTCGTGGAGGACCCAGAAGGATACCTGGGAAGAAGCTCCAATTTCCCCCAGCCAGGCTCCTGGGAGCAATGGAAGATCCATCGGAGTAGATCCAAGATATCCTGGAGGAGTACAAACTGGAAATCAGATAGCGGACAGCAATATCCCTGAAGGAACTGAAACCGTACAACATCCACTCCTGGCCTAACAACCTGAACATATGTAAAAAGTGCAACTGCAACCGCAACGGACCCGGACTACCCCAACAGAACTACAAACGGAAAAACAAACTAAACACCCCGTGGGTTGGGCCACCCATCGGGCGCGTCTCCAGGTGGCGGATAGGAGGACCGGCCAGGGGACTGGGCTATTTATGGCCTTACGGACGGTATCGGCAGACTCCTGGTCAGCGGCAGTCAAATCACTTAGTGATCAGCTATGTCCAGCAACTAAAGGGCACCCTCCTCCTCTCCCACTCCATCTCCAACATCAAGAGCACTTCCTGCGGCAGGCGCCAAGATCTCCGCCTGGAATAAAGGCAAGGAACCGGCTGCCCCTGCAGGAAAGCGCCCTCACTTGAACACCTACACTAGGGTAACCTCAAGAAGATTGAAGAAGCCGCGCAAAGACAGTAATGTCGCTGCACCTTCCAGAAACTTGACCTAGAAGGACAACTCCTCGGAAGGATGTACAATGGGTCACATGTGGCCTACTAAGTGCTCCCTACTATATACAACATTCACACTAAGTCCTAACCCTGAAGAGGCATAGGCCTATAGCAGGGATCCCTCAAAACACTATCTCAAACTGAATATATTTTGATGCAAATTTGAATATACATTCTTGAATTGAATTAAATTAGAAGAACTGGGCGTTGACTCCCATGCGGTTGTTGTTGATGGTTTAAAATGTATTGTAAAGGTCATAAAGCTCGAAAAGTGGGTGCCCCAAGATTTGAATGCGCTACCAAAACGATCCTTTTTTTATATCGGATCATCATGTGTGATGAAAAGTGGATCCTCTACGACAACTGGAGACGTTCAGGTTGGATACCAATGAGCCACTCAAGCACCTCCCAAGGGCGAAAACTCATCAAAAAAGACCATGGTTACTGTACGGTGGTCATCGATTGATATAATTCACTAAAACTTTCTACAACCAGGCCAAACCATCACAGCAGAGTCCTATTGTGAAGAAATCGACAGCACTGGTCAACAAAAGAGGTCCGATTCTGCTCCATGACAACGCCCGTCTGGACGTTTCACAAATCACCAGCGGAAAATTGAACGAATTGAGCGTCAAAGTTTGCCTCACCCACCATACTTTCCAGACCTCTCGCCAACCGACTACCATCTTTTCAAGCACTTCGATAACTTTCTCATCAGCAGAACCTTCGCCAATCACGACCAGGAAAAAACGGCCTTCGTCGATGTCATCGAATCCCGAGCATCCAAATTCAAAGCGAAATTATTCGACTTGTGTTGGCACAAGTGCATCGATTCAAATTGCGCAAAGCTCGAGTGAATTGAATCTATTAATCTCGTCATCATTTACTACTGCTACGTTTTTACACACTATATTCTACTATATAGGTTTTATATGTTTTTGTATACAGGCTGATTCACGGTGGATGGCACATTAGACGTTTCTGGTGAACCAGACAACGGATCACTTTGAAAATTTAATGGA